CTCAGCGAGCTATGGAGAGGGCTATGCTCGGAATATTTCTGCATGATGAACTTAAAAATGAGGATATCCACAGTAGAACCAGAGTGACCTACATAGCCCAACAGATTAGTAAGCTGAAGTGGCAATGGACCGGCCATATAGCTCGAAGAACCGACAACCGATGGGGAAAAAAGGTTCTAGAGTGGCGGCCTCGTACCAGCGGACAAAGTGTTGGACATCCCCCCAATACATGTAGCGACGACCTGGTAAGATATGCAGGAAGTCCATGGATGCAGGTAGCTCAGGACCGTGTTTTGTGGCATTTCTTAGGGGAGGCCTATGTTCAGCAGTGAACTTGTGAAAGGCTGTAATGATAATGATGATGAAGATCTCTGTCACCACTAATACCAACACCACTACACTAGGAAAGACATACCACTGACGACAATACGACACGTATTTCGCCTCTACACGAGGCTTCTTCAGATGATGTAGACTCTGCGATGGCTGACCGCTAAGTCACTTATTCGCGTTTTGAGATATTGCACGCAATTGAGGAAGGACGGGAGGTGCTCTTCAAGCTAGGTAAGACACATCATTTTAGTTTATCGAGCGGATGTACGCGAGGTAATTGTTACGAACTTTAATAGAATTCGTAATGTAGATATCCACAGCAGAACTAGAGTAACCGACATAATTAGAAACGGAACAATTTGGTAGTATGCTCGTATGGCGTCGAAAATTAAAAAAGTTAAAATTAAACGCGATAAAATCCGTAAAATTTGTTTTGTTTGTAGTATTCGTGCAAATATAAGAAATTATAATATGACATATTTGTTACGCGGGGGATTCGAACCTGCGGCCCTCAGCGCTACATCTCATCGCTAAGTTACTGTTCTAAGGAGCTAACAAATTTATAAATAAGTATAACAATTCAACGTTAATGCTTTTAAAGTATCTAATTTATTAAAGCTAGTAACTTACAAATGAATACTTTATTCAAAAATTTGCATCCGCAAGTAGTCACTCGTAAAGAGCGGACGAAATTTAAAATAGTTCCATGAACTCTACTCGAAGTAGTTTGCTGTTCAACTTTTCAAATCGAAAGTAACTCCGAACTCCTGTATTGCTATGATTTCGAAGAAATATTAAACTGCTCTTATTGCTACTAATATTTTCTTAAATTTGTAAAGGCGAATAAATTTACCAAAAGTATTTAGCCAAAGTAAAGCCGCGTAGAGTTTTACGTGTTAGATTTGTACCACGAATATGTCCACGCTAGGACAGAATGATCCATCTACCCATACATCATTTAAAATTCCACTGTTGAACACAGGGTTCCACCACAAATAGCAGCTCAATGCTGCTGTGTTTAATATGGTAAGTGTAAAGAAACGGAGACATCTTTACTGAATACGAGGCATTCCATTTTAGACCTCAGGAGCGACAGCGCATATGCATTTTGATTCTTAATCGCCACAACAATCATTTAATATCAGATGGGATATGTGCTCGCTCCTTACTCTTATTCTATAAAAATGCATGTCTAGCACGTGGTAAATTAAAACTTAGAATTGCGATTAATAATATAATTTGCTTGCATTGCTTGCCGTGCCGAACGAAAGGACAAACTTAATGCATCAGGCGTCCTTGACATTTACTTTATGCACACTTAATTTGATAGCGAGTGAAATAGACTTGTATTGTTGTCCCCTGAGTTTAACAAGACTAGCATTATATATTATTTGTTATGTACATAATTTAAAAAGATAAATACGTATAATGTAGCATATAGAATAGTTACACTATCGTATTAGGATAACTTGTAAAGATATTTGTATGTGTTAAAATAAATAAAATTGGTAAATCCAGTTGTGCACACCCTAAGCGCATTAAAAACCTTACGTATAACATGATTATAAGGACTTTTTAAATGTAGTTTAAATACATTTCGACAGCACTATCGGCTTCAATACCCCCGAAAACCATGAAAATGACAGCCATGATGAAAAAGTTGATACCTAATTCAGCCGCCATCTTGGACTTACATTTCGACAGCACTATCGGCTTCAACACCCTCGAAACCCATAAAAATAACATCCATGATGAAAATATTGATACCTACTGCAGCCGCCACCTTGGATTTACATTTCGAGAGCACTATCGGCTTCAACACCGGGAAAAACCATGAGAATGACACCCATAATGAAACAAATTGATACCTATTGCAGCCGCCATCTTGGATTTACATATCGACAGCACTATCGGCTTCAACACCCGCGAAAACCATGAGAATGATACCCGTGATGAAATAATTGATACCTATTGCAGCCGTCGTCTTGGATTTACATTTCGACAGAACTATCGGCTTCAACAGCCTCGAAACCCATGAAAATGACACCCATTACGAAGAAATTGATACAAGTTACTTTTAGTACGTAGTACTATTATTTATTCTGTGCTTTTAAAATATTGTAATAAAAAATCTCTCATTATTATTATAATCAAGTAGTAGGTAGAGCCATGGTGCAGCTAAATTAGTAGTATAGTTGTAGCACGAATGGGTCGGCTCGACCGGGAAAGGACCACGCTCTCACAGAATACCAGCGTAAAATATCAGCTTAACGCTGCTGTGTTTCGTATGGTGAGTCTAGAGAACCGGAGACCCTTTTTACTGGAAACGAGGCATTCCATCTTAGTCCTCACGGGTGACAACGCATCTGCATTTTGATTCGCAAACGAGGATAAATGTAGATGTCTATAGGCCACAGCAACCACTTACCATCAGGTGGACTGTGTGCTCGTTTGTCACCCGACACTATTAAAAAAATTAAGAAATCTGGTTATTCGAATATTGTGTATTTGAATAGCGATCTTTTTGAGCCGCTGCAAACAACCGTAACAATGTCCACTCACGACGGCGACTGATGCCGAACTAACTGAACTGAGTAATAATTTACATACAAGGCTGCCGAATACAACGAAAATTTCGCCATTTCGCAGCCGAAAAGAACTTATTATAACTAAACTAAACAAAATTAAACTGCCATTTACATTCAATGGCTTGCCACATGATAGATGAAGAGTTTTAAAAATATACTGAGTTAAACAATTGATATTTTCAAAAGTTATCGTGTTTAAAAGCCTTGCGGACTTGATAAATCCACACTATTAGCCACTAAAACCCCTTTTTTAAATAAAAAACAATTTTATTTAAAAAAGGGGTTTTAGTTTAAAAATAATTTTTTAATTTAAAAATAGCAAACAATCGATTTAAAAAAATATTAATAAGTTTAAAAATCATTTATCTTTCTGACAATGTGCTTTTTATATCACTTATATGTACAATATGATTGCTAGATACGATTTCATGCGACAGAACGTTGGAACCTTAATTTTTACGCGACAGAACGCGCTTAGGCGCTTACAACATGCAATAAACATTGGTGTCGTTAGGAATCGAAATCGGGTTGCGCATACACTGAGATATTTGCAGCGAGCACTTAGTTTTTTAGCTACCATGGCTTGTTGTAAGGATGTGTGTATATTGATCTTTATAACGATTTAATGTGTATGTTAAGATTTAATTCTATAAAACAAAGCAGTGCTGTGCAGTGGCGGCATAAGTGTATCCATAACCTCACGTCATCCCGTGGGTGCCGCAAGAGGCGACAGACGGAAATTGAAACTGGATACGGACCGCAGCATCGTCCTGATAACAACTGATAATAATAGAAACAATCTACGGTTGCTCCAGCCTGCAAAACGTGGCGAGTATGGCAAAATGAGGTAATCTATGCAGGAGTCCTATGTTCTGCATATGCATTATCGTGTTTTTTTTTAAATAACGTCACTTCCAGACTGGAATTCTCTTGTATCGAAGAGGCAGATTACAAACATTAATTGCTCAAGTGAAACCTGGAACAATTATTTGTAGGCAATACAAATACTTGTTCCGTGCACCATTCCAACCCGCGGCCCCCAGCACTGCAACTTATTGCTAAGCCACTGCGCCACGGAGCCATCTACTGTATCATTTTAATGTATATTTGACAACTAGCTATTCCCCACGACTTCGCCCGCCTGTTATGTGGCGGTTTTCATTTTTTGCGCGGAATCCTAATTCTTTTTCTACGTAAAAGCCTTAGTTACTCCTTGTGACATCCGCTATCGGCCAGTGAAAATCCCGTCAAAATTGGCCCTGCCGTTTCGGAGATTAGCCGAAACAAACAGACAGATAGACGGACAGACAGACAGACAGACAGACAAAAACTTTAAAAATTGTATTTTTGTTATTAGTACGGTATATAATTTCAAATGTATTTAGTAAAAATCTGTAATTTTAACATTACAAACAGACACTTCAATTTTATTTATTTGTATATATATATATATATATATATATAGATTTCATAATGTTTTTAATATCTCTCAAATAATGAAAAATAACTGATTTGACGATTGATTTGAAGACATGCTCAATGTCTGTACTCTGTTCATTCTCTTTCATTTTAATTTCCTTTGCCGTTGCATTTAATGCCCGCAGAGAAATTAAAAACCTTTGTGCAGAGTCACAATTATTTATTTATTTCATATATATTTTATCTTTCTAAACTAAGCTTTTCAATCTTTTTAAGCATATTTAATGTAACAAATATTATGTGTGTTACTTAATTAAATATACTTACGTATTATGTGTTTACTTAAAAACACACAGAGTCGATATGAAGAATGTTTTGTGAACATACCTTTTATTCCCACGATGTTGGTAACTTGATTTATAGTACCTGCTTGTCATCGGAGAGGGCGCCACTTTCTTTACCATAAATGTTTTTGTGAAAGTATGGCACCACTGTAAAACTGTCAACTAGTCATAGCGTTTTGTGATTTTCCCGCGTGAATGCTAGAAAAAAATTCTCTTGCTAAAAAAGTGAGCAAGTTAAGAGTTAAAGTGAGTAAATTACGGAATTTTACGTTTATAATTACTCGGAAGTAGATCCGAAGAAAAGTTTCATAGTGAGATGGAAAAAGTAGACGATTCTTTATTGGAAAATCAGAGTGAGGAGTCTCCGCATCAGAACTCGTCTTCTCGCGGAGAGAATCTGGATTTATCGTCGGATGGAGACAGCGGAGAATCAGACTCGGAGTCTGAAAGTGAGTCCTTACGTCCTCCAAATAAAAGAATTAAAACCAATGACGTAAATTCGGACCCGCGGTTCGAAGCACTAATACACCAAGTAAGTCACCTTACTAATTGTCTTCAATATTATTTGCCTATAAATATAGCATTGCCTTCTACATCAAATACATTATTGCCTTCTACGTCGAATGACGGAACGGTCATGCCCTACTGACAGTTCCGAATTCTTAGTAAAGCCAAATTCAAATCAGCTCAATTTAGGTGAGGTCTTCACTGTTACTGACAATAACAAAGTAATAAAGAATGCATCGCAAAGTCGTTTGGAATCCTTAGTAAAATTACAACACTTTGGAACTGAGGAGTGGAAAGAGGTAAAATATTCTAAGGTCTTACACAATTTTTTAGCCAAACCAAGTTTTATCGAACTAAAGATTAAGGATGAATTGTGTCACCTGAATAAGGGAAAAGACTACTTAGCAAACACAGAAAAAACTTTGGCTGGTCTTACAAATGGCTTGTTAGAACACAAGGAAATTGTACGGAGCAATTTACAAGAGATTGTAAATTGGTCAAATAACTCGTCAAGTGATTTGACACCAGAAAATCTGTTTAATAAGATTATGACAGTGTTTGGACCTAACACTCAATATTATAAGAATATGGAACAAATTGTACAAGTTGTCTGTGGGAAGAGAACAGAGTGCATAGAAATAAGACGAGAACGCATTTTATCAGAGATCTCAAATAAAAACCTACAAGCTACTCTCAGAAAGCTGCCTCCAAGTGCAGAACACCTTTTCGAGCATAATAGTTTATTACCGGTGATATAATCTCTAGGAGGGACAAGTGTGTGGCTTAATATGCCAACTTATTTAAAAGAAAATAAAATACCTAAGAAACTACAATATGAACCTGCAACTGCAACTTCAATATATCACCAATCTTCACAGGGGAACCGTAGCACTGCATACCGTGGTAACAAAAAAAATAGTAATAAAAAATTTAAGAAAGAACAAAGAGGTAGTAACAGTTCCTTTCGCCCCAAAGAAAAAAAATGACTATCGACAGGTATTCAAAGGGGGCTGCTTGAAGAATCATTTGCAAGCATGGGAAGCACTGGGAGCAACCGACTTTATAATGAAAATAATTTCTGGAGCTCGTATCCCTTTCTCAAACAAACCTCTCTAAATTACCCATCAGTTACTATAAAAAGACTATACAAGACCAAAGAGTCACAGGAAATGACAAAAATAATTATAGACTTAAAGAAGCAACAAGTGTTGGAGAGACCAAAGTCTCCAAGTCCAAGCTTCCTTTCGAAGATGTTTATAATACCAAAGAACGATGGATCCTTCCGACCAGTCTTCGACCTGCGAGGACTCAACAGGTATGTCCATACCAAACATTTCCAACTGATATCCCATGCCTCAATACCAGAATTCCTTCAAAAGGGGGACTGGATGGTGAAAATAGACATATCCAATGCCTATTTCCACATACTAATTGCAGAATCCCATCGTTGCTATCTCCGGATGATATACAACAACGAACTATTACAAATAAATTCGCTTCCTTTTGGCCTGGCATCTGCTCCTCGCACTTTTGCAGCGGTTACAAACTGGATCGCGGAGATCCTGCGAAACAAGGAAATTCGGGTTCTAGTCTATCTAGACGATTTCCTATTGGTTCACCAGGACCAAGCCAAGCTGGTCTCTCAGACTGCGGAAGTCGTGAGACTCTTGGAGTCTCCGACTTCCTTCTTGGAGTCTATGGGTTGGCAAATAAATTACCTAAAGTCTGTGCTGAAGCCAATGCAACAATTAGAGTATTTAGGAATAACTTGGAACACCAAGACAGACACAATGTATCTCTCGGAGAGAAAAATAAAAAATATAAAAACAGCAATAACAAAATTATTAAGCAAAAAGGCATGCAATCTAAAACAGGTGCAAAAAATTCTAGGACAACTAAACTTCGCCAGTTTTGTCATAAGAAGGGGTCGCCTGCACTGCCGCTACATTCAAATACTGCTAAAACGCTTCAAGCAAAATTTGAAAAACAAAAGAGTCCTACCACCACAAGTACGACAGGACCTCAGGTGGTGGAGTCACTCATTAGTGGGCAAGGCAGTTCTACATCAGCGACCATACACCCACTTCCTCACAACCGATGCGGCAGATACCGGTTGGGGGGCCCAGTTGAACGAGAAGATGATGTCAGGAGTTTGGACAAAAGATCAGATGAAATGGCACTCGAATTGGAAAGAGCTGTTCGCAGTATATGCGTCAATCCAGAAACAATCACACTGCCTACAGAATGCTCACATTCTAGTCCAGTCGGACAATCGAACCCTTGTGGCGTATATTCGGAACGACGGGGGGACCCACTCAATGAGTTTACTCAATCTGACGTGTAAGTTGTTGAAGCTGACCGACAGGAAAAACATTCTCCTATCAGCACACTACCTCCCGGGGAGGTACAACTGCACAGCCGATCACCTCTCACGGGGACGGCGAATGTCAGAATGGCATTTTTATTGAATTTTTATAGTGGTAGAGCCAAGCGGCAGCTGTTGCTGTCGCACGGATGGGCCGGCTCGAACCGGGGTGGTACCACGACCTCACAGAAAACCAGCGTGAAGTAGAGGTTTACCTCTGCGTTTCGCTTGGTGAGTGCAGGTGGCCGGAGGCCCTTTTTACTGGAAATGAGGCATTCCATCTTAGTCCTCACGGGTGACAACGCATCTACATTTTGATTTGTAATAGAGGATAGATGTAGATGTCTATGGGCCGCAGCAACCACTTACCATCAGGTGGACAGTGTGCTCGTTTGTCACCCTTATCCTATAAATAAATAAATAAAAAAAAATCTGTAACAAACCAATTGTTTCATCGTTGGGGAATCCCAGATGTCGATCTATTCGCGTCTGCAGAAACCGCCGTGGTCAGCAGATACGTCTCCTTAGACTGGAAAGACAATTTGGCAATATTCCCAAATGCCTTCAGTCAGGACTGGAATTTTCGGCTCGGGTGGATATTTCCTCCTCCCAGCTTGATCCCTCGAGTATTAGCTCAATTGAACCATGCCAAGGGTCATTACATATTAATAACTCCTCTATGGGAAAAGACCTTTTGGCTAGCAGATTTAAAAAATTGGGCACTGGAACCACCAGTGACAATAGAGAAAATTTCGGAGAATTTGATAGACACCGCAACGGGTCTTCCTCCACCACAAGCAGACCAACTGAACCTTCAGGCCTGGTTAGTTGGAGGTGGGCAAAATCAATTAGTAGATGGTCAGAATCAGAAAAACAATTATTAAATTCTAGTTGGAGACCGTCAACATTAGGTACTTACTATCCAGCTATTAAACGATGGATAAAATGGTGTGACTTAAATAATGTTTCTTGCAATCATTCACAACCACATCAAATAGCAAGGTTTCTAGCCCACTTACACTTAGAAGAAAAATTAGCTTATAGCACCATTTTAGTGCATAAATCAGCAATATATAGTTATTGTAAAATTGATCAAAATCAAGCTCAAGATAATTCATTGGTGCATCAAATTCTGAAAGCTATTGCCATGGCACAACCACCTAAAAGCAAAGCTCCTATATGGGATGTACAAATTGTTTTTGATTGGCTAACAACATCCAGCATTAAAAACACCATATTCGAAGTGTCTAGACGAACAGCAGCAATTCTTCTTCTAGCATCTGGTAGAAGAGTTCATGATCTCACATTGCTTAAAATATCAGAAGCAAATTTAAGATTCATTGATAACAAGGTAACCTTAGGGCCAATATTTGGATGAAAGACAGACTCAGCGTGTCATAGGCAATCTGGATGGTCATTACTTAAGCATCCGAATCAGAAAGTATGTCCAGTATTATGGATAAGACGTTTAATTGACATAACCCAAGAGCGACGAAATGAACAAGAAGGATTGAATCATTTATTTATTACAATTATTGGTAAACCACGTCCAGCCTCTAGAACAGTGATTGGTGGCTGGATTAAAACAGTATTAAAGGATGCAGGGATTACAGCATCACCAGGATCATTTAGATCAGCAGTGGCCTCTGCAAGTTGGGTAGAAGATCATCCAGTGGATGAAATACTGGCAAGAGGAAACTGGAAAAGTGAGAATACTTTCAGAAAATTCTATTGTAAAGAGGTAGAAAAGAAATCTAAAAGGTCTGAATTACTTTTCAATAATTTTCAACCAGAGTAAATTGTTTAATTATAAAAATATAAATGTGTTGATTTATTTGAGAATTTATATAATTTACTGTTAAATAAATAATAGAAGTTTTCTTATTCTAATGTTACACATTTGTCTTGAATTATAGTTTATTACAATGTGTTGATTCATTAATAAACATTATTTCTTATCACATAGCGTTTTGTGTTTGTCACCAGAAGATATCAAACAGGTCTTCATATCGATGCTGTGTGTTTTTAAGTAAACACATAATATAATATTTTGAATTACAACAAAATAGTTATTATGTGTTGAAAGAAAAACACACAGCGTCGCAGGAATATCTTCCTGTTGAAGACACTATGACTAGTTGACAGTTTTACAGTGGTGCCATACTTTCACAAAAACATTTATGGTAAAGAAAGTGGCGCCCTCTCCTGTGACAAGCAGGTACTATAAATCAAGTTACCAACATCGTGGGAATAAAAGGTATGTTCACAAAACATTCTTCCTATCGACGCTGTGTGTTTTTCTTTCAACACATAATAACTATTTTGTTGTAATTCAAAATATTATATTATGTATTTTTTGGAACGAAGTTCCTTAGCGCACGGTACGAATTTGATGGATGGGGTCTACGCGGGAAAAAGTGTAAAATTTTTACGTTACGACCTATTCTATAGTGCGAGTGAGATGAAATTATATCCATCTCCCTCGCACATTTTCTCATCTTGCCATGAAAGAAATATTATTTTAAATGACGTTTCATTTTAATAGACTAGACGAAAGATACTTTGTTCCAACCGGGTGTTCCACGACAATCACGCATGTTGTTTTTATAGTACATTTTTACGTAGTAGAGCCATGCTGCAGCTATATTAGTAGTATATTTGTAGCACGAATAACGCGTACGTATATTTCGTATGGTGACTATAAAAAACCGGAGACCCATTTTACTGGAAAAAAGGCATTCCATATTAGTCCTCACGGGTGACAACGCAGCTGCATTTTGAGTCTTTATTGAGGATGAATGTAAATGTCTATGCATCACAGCAACCACTTACCATCAAGTGGACTATGTGCTTGTTTGTCACCCTATCCAATAAAAAAACACACACAGTCCACCTGATAGTAATTAGTTGCTGTGGCCCATAGACATCTACATCTATCCTCGACTACGAATCAAAATGCAGATACATTATCACCCGTGAGGACTAAGATGGAATGCCTCGTTTCCAGTAAAAGGGGATTCGGTGCTCTACACTCACCATACGAAACAGCAGCGTTAAGCTGCTATTTTATGCTGGTATTCTGTGAGAGCGTGGTCTTTCCTCGGTCGAGCCGAACCATTCGTGCTACAAATGTACTACTAATATAAATGTATGGATATTTCTTATTCTATCACATTTGAACGAAATTTTACACACAAGTAAAAGAAGTTCTGATTTTATGACGAGTCAATTTCGAATGTAATAACTAAATTTAAACATCGTGATAAATATATACAATTTGCTATAAAGGATTATGTACATTGCCCGGAGCGAGCCGGACGTAGAACGCAGGGCTCTTTAAATGCCCGGTTCTTGAAGAAAGAATTCTTTTCTCATAATATTCCATTTCACTAT